AAGACTTTAGTGGCACAAAAAGGAGGCAAAGGGTCACACTCCATAGCCCTTTGCATGGCTCGAACCTCTATACTAGCCCACATTAGTTTAAGATGATCTGATTCCAAGGAGCCCAATTATAAAGAGCCTCAAGAAGTTAAAGCAAAAGTATGATTACTAAAAAAATCAGATGCAGAGAGCATTTATAAACATCTTTTAAACTAGCTCTGACAGGCCAGAAACAAGTTTTGGCTGTCACTAACAGTTAACATCACAATACCATGTGATAAACAATTTAAGCTTAAAGACTTTGGAACATTTAAACTTCACTGCCTTCATTTCAGCGAAATGCTAATTTCTCTGACACATCCCATCAGTCAAACTGTGCAAACACCATGTCAGAGGCTCAACGGAAAAGGCTTCTTGTCCACTTTTTCTGCCTTGGCATTCTAATCTAAGAGCTACCAGCCTCCAGAAAGTTACCAGAAGCAATAAAACGCAGCCAATGGCCTAACAGCTTTTGTTTCTCTCCCTTGCACTAGGAAGTCCTATTCCTTGTAATACCTGTTCTTTAGAGGGATTCAGTGCAAGACACTGGCAAAAGAGTGACTTTCATTTCTGCATCCTCACTACTTTGCATTGGGCTTACTATATGGGAGAAACTCTGTGTTCTGAATGAACAAGTAAATGCATGTTTAATAGGTTATAAAATTAGCTAATATTTGATGGTTTGGGAACATTGCTTAAAAATAAAGTATGGCTGCCACGCGTGGTGGCTCACACCTATAATCCCAGCACTTCGGGAGGCCAAGGTGGATCACGAGGTCAGGAGTTCGAGACCAGCCTGGCCAGCATGGTAAAATCCCAGCTCTACCAAAAATACAAAAGTTAGCTAGGCATGGTGGTGGGTGCCTGTAATCCCAGCTATTCAGGAGGCTGAGGCAGGAGAATTGCTTGAACCTGGGAGGCAGAGGTTGCAGTGAGCCGAGGTCGTGCCGCTGCCCTTCAGCCTGGGCAACTGAGCGAGACTCTGTTTAAAAAAAAAAAAAAGTATGGCAGCTTCTGAAACTTTAAATACTCTGAAACCAAAAAAAGAAAGTAATATTTTAAAAGCTCACTGTTGAGCTTAACATTCCTTGGAAATGTCTACCTTCCTTACATGTTATTAAAAATCTCAGGCTGGATGCAGTGGCTCACACCTGTAATCCCAGCACTTTGGGAGGCCAAGGCAGGTGGATCATGAGATCAGGAGTTCAAGACTAGTCTCGCCAAGATGGTGAAACCCCGTCTCTACTAAAAATACAAAAATTAGCCAGGTGTGGTGACAGGCACCTATAATCCCAGCTACTTGGGAGGCTGAGGCAGAGAACTGCTTAAACCCGGGAGGCGGAGGTTGCAGTGAGCTGAGATTGTGCCACTGCACTCCAGCCTGGGCAACAGAGCAAGACTCCATCTCAAAAAAAAAAAAAAAAAAAAAAAAAAAAAAAAAAAAAAAAAAAAAGAAAAAAAAAGAAAAAATCTCTACTTGTGTTAAAGAGTTGCAGAATTTTTTTCCCTCAACCTTATATCTGAAAGTGCTAGCTATTATTTGAAAGTAATGATAATTGGTACTTACACATGCACACGCGTGCGCACACACACACGCACACGCATGCGCACACACACACGCGCACACACACACACACAGAGAGGGAGACAGAGAGACAGAGAGACAGAGAGAGAGAGAGAGAGAGGGAGAGAACCCAGACATGGTACTGTGGCTTATAATTTAGATTTTCAGAGTTAATTAAAAAGGGCCTTAGGCCTTCTTAATTTCATTTCCACTTCCTCACCTTTCAAAAAGATCTGGAAATGCCCAATGTTTTCATTAGTAAGAAACAAATCAGCAGTAGCCATCTGATGTAAACTAGTGAGGAACCGCAACCACACTGCTGCTCCCTGAGGATGGGCCATTGCTCCCTGTGATCCTGCTGCCCTGCTACCATGGCAACCAAATCAGGCTCTGGTCCTGTGCTCTCACCTGACAGGGTGCTCATTTCCTGGGCGTGACCTGAAAGGCTATCTAGTTCAGTCACCGGCTAGGAAAGGCCACAAGTGATCTAAACTATACAGGGTGAAGAATGTACAAGATCTTGGTTCTCAAATACACACACACTCCCTTATTCAGAATGTGTGAGGTGAAAATGCAGTGGTCAAAGAAGAGGCTAGGCCAGGCATCATGGTTCACACCTGTAATCCCGTCACTTTGGGATGCTGAGGAGGGTAGATCACTTGAGGTCAGGAGTTTGAGACCAGCCTGGGCAACCTGGTGAAATCCCATCTTTACTAAAATATATGAAAATTAGCCGGACATAGTGGTGTGCGCCTGTAATCCCAGCTACTTGGGAGGCTGGGTGACAAGAATCACTTGAACCCAGGCGGCCAAGTTTGCAGTGAGCTGGGATTACACCACTGAACTCCAACCTTAGCGACAGAGCAAGACTCACTCTGAAAAAAAAAAAGGACTCAGAAATAGGGAGAATCAGGTTCAAAGCCTAACTCCCACAGCTGTTAGTCAGTGACTCTTCCGAGCCTCAGTATCTCCACCTACGAAATGTATATTCTAATGTCCCGCCTCCCTCAATGAGGTAAGGCATACAAAATATGTATCAAGGGGCTTGGCTTCTGATTAAGAATCAGTAAGTATTAGCTATTATTACTTGTCCCTAGAAGTTTTTTCTTTTTGTGACAGGGTTTTGCTTTGTTACTCAGGCTGGAAAGTAGTGGCGTGATCATGGCTCACTGAGCCTCTTCTTCCCAGGCTCCAGCAATTCTCCTTCCTCAGCCTCTCAGGTAGCTGGGGCTACAGACATGCACCACCATGTCAGCTAATTTTTTTTTTGTAGAGACAGGGTTTCACCATGTTGCCCAGGCTGGTCTCAAGCCATCCACTCACCTCAGACTCCCAAAGAGCTAGGATTATAGACATAAGCCACTGTGCCTGGGCCCTAGAATATTTTTATTGAAGGGACTGTGGTTTAGAGAACCAAAGCTACTTGCTTAGCTAGAGTCTGAAGCTTGTTCTTGCTTCCCCTTTACCCTCAGAGTTCTGAACTACTCGCCATCTCTTTATTAAACAGACTATCAAGAATTTATAAGGGAAATTCACTTTTTTAAAAAGTTCTTTATCCCCTTAATATTGTGAAAAGTGTCAGAAAAAATCTATTTTTTTGCTTCCATGTACCCTGGCTCTTTCTTAGGAATTAAACTTTAATTAGACGCCAAATTAACATGAGAACTTTCTCCCTTGGAGAGTTTAGAAATTATTTTATCATTGAAAAAAACGTTGGCATGGAGGTAAGTCACTTGGTTAGTTGTTTTTTTATGCTAGGGAGGGCTTACTCAAACAGGCTGACCCATTAGGGAGGGGGGACACTAATTCTTAGTAACTGGGTAGTTCCCTGAAAAAAAGCAACCACTCTGTTTAAGGTCTTCAAAGTAAAAGTAATTGATTCATTCTAAGGTCAAAAGGACTGGCCAGGGCTGTCCCACTTGGAAGGCTCACTTGTTTAAAAGGTGCCCCTCCCTACCCCCACCACTTTTTTCCTTTGGGGGGAAAATAAATCAGTTTTTCATGGGTCGAATGGGCTCTGACTTTTCTCATCCAAAGTCCACTAAGATGTTTACTTTGTTCTGTTAAAAATACAAGAACTCAAACATATGTACTCCTTGGTTTACTGTTCCCACTCATACGAACACATCTGCAGTTAAAAGAGGAAAAACATTTAACAGCTCGTCAGGCCTGATAAATAAGGGCCATTTCTCATGAAGTCTGGCAACAACAGGCCGGTTGTTTAATTTTAGGCTGCTCTTCAAGATCCAAGTCCTCATTTGATGCCTGAAGGATCCATATAGCAATGGGCCAGCATGCATGGTCACACTTCCTCTGAGTATGTACAGAAAAGGACTGCAAAGCTGCTCCAAGCTCAAACCAATTTTCTAATAAATGTGACAAACGCTTAGTTCAGCAAAAAGTTAGTATAAAGGCAAATTACTACAATTTTGCTTCTGGCACAAATTGACAATTTGCATATGCTGCCTAAGGAAACCACGTAGTCCTATACTATTGTCTCATCAAAAACAGAGCAGTTATCCTACAAATTCTGGAATGCGGCCTAACGTTCCTTTTACCCCTATATCAAAGTCCACAGACTCAGGAAGTTTAAGAGATATTGAGGCAGACTCTTTACTCATTATACCTTCTCTGTCTCTGTCTCTCTGTCTCCAGTTGGCTGGCTCTCTTTGGAGAAATTTCTTTGTGGGCTAAAGAAGTTAAAACATGGCTCATAATAAAATGAAAGTCAAAAATATAGAATGAACTCTCTCTCTTGAAATATTAAGGCATATTTTCTAAATTATTCATCTTAGAACATTACTTGCCTTTCAGATACCCTTGGAATATTCCAGCCTTAGTGCTAAAATTGACTCCTGAACTAAAGCTATCTAAGTCATGAAACTCTCATTAAGTATCTTGACCAAGACAGTCAGTGAGAGATAAGAGATCAATGTAAAAACTTTCTGCACATCTATGTCGTATCAAGGCATGGGAACCAAAAGGTTTTAGGAAGATTAAAATGCAAATATAACTGGGTAAACAGAACTCACATAGCAACAGTAGGATTTATAACCTTCACAACACTCTCCAAACAGTGAAATTATCTCTAATATTAGCTGTTTTGGTACTTCCTGCCTATTTTCCTGGAATACCGTGTGCCACAGGGTGATGAGAGACCTAATCTCGCCTGGAAGAAGTCAGCAAAGTAATCTGCTCTCATTATCTGCTTTACAACAAATGAAAAACACTTGGAACTGGGGTGGATCATTCAAGTACTCATAGAAGGAAACAGAAATGTATAGAATGGGGAGTTGTGGGGACTGAGGCAAAATAGAGCACACACCTTGTCCAAAGTAAGTTAAACGAACAAACAACTTTATGTACACAATAAAACACAAATCCAGTCCCAGGATCATAAATTTATGACTCCTAAGATCACAGCTTATTTTTATTTAATTAGGAAAAGGAATGAGTTATGTTGAGATGAAACTAACCATATACTAAGCTGTCCTATGAAATTACTTAGCTTTGTATATATGCTAAACATTAGCAACATATGCTTATTATCCTGTTTATAAAACTACATTTTGACCATGAGATTTTTTCTTGTGGCCTGAAAAGTTTGTTTGGTTTTTTTTGGTAGTGGATAGGAATATGTCAATAAATTTTTACTGGGCTAGTAATAATTATATTAGCAATTGGCCTGATAATATTAACTAGTTTTGATTTGATATGAGCCTAGTAATAGTTTCATGTGTACCTTTACTTATTTTGTTGCAAATGGCCCTGTTACTTTTAAAAGCAGTATATTTATAATAAGAAAAGAACTGCTTTCATGTTTTAAATAGACAGTCTAAACATAATTATAATTTTACTAGGAATTTGGTTTTTTCAGATGTGAAACCAATACTTGTAAAAAAAAAAAAAAAGTCTAGCTAAATGTTTCTCATCTATATTATTGAAATTTATCTGCAACAAAGACCAGAGAACTTTCTTACCCAGCCCACGAGGATGGGACCAACATGTTCAGTCGAGCCATCAGGCTTCCGAGCATCTCGAAGCTGACTAAGGAGCTCTGGCAAAAAACAGACAGAATGCTTATTTGTTAGGCATTTAAATATGAACAGGGCTGGAAGTAGGTTCTGAGTTATTCACATGGCAGGCATTTCATAATCACTCACTCATTATAAGACAACTCAATTAAAGCTACAAGTCACAACCCATCCTGGGAACAAAATTATACCTTCATGTAGAGGAATTAGAGAGTCCAGTGTTCCAAAAATTTGATTCAACTCTTGTTCTGTCATTATGGAGAGTTTCAGCATGGGGTCATGATAAGCCTGCACAAAAAGGGCAAGAGATATAAGCAAATGTTTAAAATCAGAGGAAGTACATTGTTCATATAAGTGGCTCCTGAGAGGTCCTATCCAATAACAAGATTTTCGGCTCTCTAACTTCTCCCATAAAGCTTCAGAAACAGCAGATAGGTGTGGCTGGAGGAGAGGAAAAACCAGCACTGCCTTGAAACTTTGTGGTTGTTGATAAAACAAAGCAGATTTTTCTAAAGTTTTTTTTTTTTATTCTAGTATATCAAGTATCTAGGAAAGAGCATACATCCTAGGCATAGAACAGATTTGACTGTTAAAATGTTTTCAAAATGAAGATCCTGCCTGTTTAAAAAAAAAATCCTACTTTATTCAAAACTAGCTACCAGTAGATTCTTTTTTTCAATGAGTACATATTTAAAATAAAGAAAAAGAAGAAAGAAACAGTGGCTGGTATCCTGTAGTACTATTTGAACAAAGAGAGTAAAACCTCTGCCAATCCTATCATCTCTTATTAGAGATAACTGAACAACAAGAATATAGTTATACCCAGGGCACAGAAACAGAATATGAAGACTTAGAATCTGTTTCCTGCCTTCAAGGATTTTTTTTTTTCTTTTTTTTTGGGAGAGAGTCTCGCACCGTCACCCAGGCTATAGTGCAGTGCTGCGATCTTGGCTCACTGCTATCTCCACCTCCTGGGTTCAAGCAATTCTCCTGCCTCAGCCTCCCCAGTAGCTGGGACTACAGGCAGGCACCACCATGCCCAGCTAATTTTTTTGTATTTTTAGTAGAGATTGGGTTTCACCATGTTGGTTAGGATGGTCTCGATCTTCTGACCTTGTGATCTGCCTACTTTGGCCTCCCAAAGTGCTGGGATTACAGGCGTGAGCCACCGCACTCAGCCTTAAGGAGTTTTATAAAGCGAATGGGGAAGATAAGAAAAACAAAAATATTTTTAGTTTAATATTTTAGTTTCTGATCTCATGGAAAATGAAATCTATGTTTAAATTAAAAAAAAACTTTTTTTTTTTTTTGAGATGGAGTCTTGCTCTGTCACCCAGGCTGGAGTACAGTGGCACAATCTCAGCTCACTGCAGCCTCTATCTCCTGAGTTCAAGTGATTATCCTGCCTCAACCTCCTAAGTAGCTGGAATTATAGGTGCCCGCCAGCATACCAGGCTAATTTTTGTATTTTGTTAGTAGTGAAGGGGTTTCACCATATTGGCCAAGCTGGTCTTGAACTCCTGACCTCAAGTGTTCCGCCCACCTTGGCTTCCCAAAGTGTTGGTATTACAGGCATGTGCCACTGGGCCTGGCTTATGTTTAAAAATTAGTTAAAGATTAAAAACAAGACTGATGTCACATGACAGCAAAAAGCCATCAAATCATAACTACTCTAGAGGTTCAGAGAATTAAAGCTGGAGTGGCCAAGGGAAGTTTTGAAGATGAGCTCCTTGGTACAGAGGAGGAGGCAATAAATGTTATATAAGAATGAATTGAGATTTGAGCTGGTTCCTGAAGGATGGGTGGATATGGATGGTTGAAAGGAAAGAGAAAAGTTTCTAGGAAGGTAGGGCCACCATTAGTAAAGGGATGGCAGGGAAACATCTGAAGGTGCTTGAGTTTGGCAAATCTTGATGCAGGAAAGGGGAGTTAGACATATGACCAGCATGATAACATCTCAGAGTGAAATAACTTCTTTGCCCTCTCTGATCTCCTCCTTCTCCAGCCCTACCTAAAATTCATTTCTTGGCTGTGTCCAAGCGAAGCTTGGGTGGCCATCTCTCAGGAATGCTAAAGGTAGAATTTCATCTCAGCAGAAAGACTAAAACCCTTAAAAGAAGGGAGGTATCCTTCTATCCTTCCAACCCTGTGATTCTTTGAGGAGGCTGTGAATATCAGATAAAGGAGTCTGGATTTTAGCCTACAAGCCATGGAGTTGGGGGGCTGTGTTACTGGAATGGAAACATTTTTGAGGAAGATTTGTTGTCCTTCCCCTCCCCATACAAAATGTTGACTAGAAAACACAGTCCAATATAAGAGACCCCAACTTATATGATAGTATGCAATTGCCTCATTTAACTTTATTCACTTTTGAGATTCAAATGGCTTTATTTCTAAAACACAGCTCAAGTTTCAGATATGCACACATTCTCTCCCATGGACAAAGAGTCCTACATATGAGACTTCTAGGACAAGGAAATAGACATAAAGCCAGGCCTCCATGGACATTTTCGGATTTAGGCTGAAGTATTCTTTGAGATGCATTAGAGACATGCAGAGGTAAACCCCTAAAGGTGCAAGGCCTGGAGAGCTATTCTGCCTTCTTGTTTTGAAGCATTTTCCCCTGTTTGGTATGTGGTAGAAGATTCTTCTCAATTTTGATGACCAGTCTTAGTTTTAAAGAGAGTTGTCATGAAGCACCACTTTAGGGTTGTTAAATTATTCAAGAAAAAATATGACTCAAATGACCACTGGATTTAAATTTACCTTTTTTGCTAATTTCAAGTCTTCTATCAAGTCTTCTTCTCCTTGGGAAAGCTCAAAGATCGCCTGTGAGGAAAGGCAAACATATTAACTGAATTCTCCCTTCATTTACAAGACCATATTCAAACAATGCTCGCTCCACTACTCAAAACCCCAAATTTACATACTTAAGTATTTTAAAGTTAGTCCCAAAAAGTTATATTAAACTGAAACAAATACATCTGTGCTTAAACCTGCAATGAAATTGTGCTTCTCTGTGGGAGAAAGTTTCCACACATTTCTAATCCAAAAGTCATCTTTCAGGTTACAGAACTTTGATGGAGCCGAACAAGTGGGAACTATTTTTTTTTTTTTTTTTTTTTTTTGAGACAGAGTCTTGCTCTGTAGCCCAGGCTGGAGTGCCGTGGCATGATCTTGGCTCATTGCAACCTTCACCTCCTGGGTGAAGCCTCCTGAGTAGCTGGGATTACAGGCACATGCCACCACACCCAGCTAATTTTTGTATTTTTTGTGCAGATGGGATTTCACCATGTTGGTCAGCTTGGTATCAAACTCCTCACCTCATCATCTGCCTGCCTCGGCCTCCAAAATGCTGGGATTACAGGTGTGAGCCACCGCATGCGCCAGTGAGAACTATTTTAGGTAAAATAATTACAGTGTGAGCCATGGATTTGGCACCCTTGTTGTGAGAGGCAATCATAAGAAGTGATTCAGGGGCTATTCTAGATAATGGAAGTGGCAATATTATTAACTGGACCATCCCCACTTTTTCTTCTACTCAACAGAAGGTGAATCTCAGCAGAAAGTTTTATTTGCGTTATCCACTGCCTTGAGGCTGAGATTGTAGGAAGAATCCAATATTTTATCTCTCCAAATACATTGTGGTGAAGTTAATTCATTCTAAATTACTTCTCAGCCCCACAGGTACAATAAATAAAATTATAGGAGCTGATTGTGTGGAAGAGTGTGTAAATGGACCATTTCTAATTTGGCTCTATTAAGCCATCATGCTAAAGAGCTATGATGTGAAGAACACTCTTTCACTCCCATCTGGGAAGTGAAATTGTCAGCAAACATTACATTATTAAAGGACTACAAGTTTGTGATGATAGTTCAGGGTCTACTATGTTTCAGGCTATAGGGAAGAAGTGGTCAGGCTTTGAACGCTCCCTCTGCCTGGGGCTGACTGGTAAACTGGGCACAAAGCAGGTGAAGGTGCAACCCCGGGCTGAATACTCCAAGGATCTCATCAGATGATGCAGGCATGAAGTGCTCAGCACAGCTTGGCACAAGCACTTAGACAAGCTCTTCTATACAGGATAATATTATCACAGCCATTTAGGGCAATTGATACAGAAAACTTACAGGGAGTGAAATTAACTGGATTCTATAGAAAGGAAGTTTTCCACAAAGCAGAATCAAAGTTATATAAATTAAATATTTAAAAATACTCTGTAAGTTGCTATCAAAATATAACTCAAATGATTATTTTTGTGAATTCAGTAACCTAAATAGACACTTGGTTTCATCTTCTTATAAATTCAGATTTTCACATCAGTTTCTTTTTAAAGTGAGGGCCACACCCTACCAGCTGGGTTTTGGTTTCTCAGTTCCCTCCCCAAGGTCAGACACTCCCGTTTTCCTCCTTCTACAAATGCAATCAAGAATTGATTTGGAGACTGAGGCACAAACTCCAGCACAGCTGTCTCCTGCAGTGCACCTTTGTTCCAGACACATAGCCAACTCCATGGGCCCCGAGCCTACCTCCTGACGTTTGATTTCCTTGGATGTAAGCATCTGATTGACGCACACATCGAAGGTCTCACTCCAGAGCTTGCTATCTCTCCGTTTCGTGCTTGAGGGGGCGGCATTTCTGGACCAGGGTCGGGGGGCAAGGATGTCAGGGCGGCTCTCGCTGCGGAAGCTAATGGAGCGCTAAACAATGAGAAAAACAAACCATCATGGGGGCAGCGGCAGGACTGGGTGGATCTTTGAGCAGTTTCCTGTCGTTGACAGAATATAAATCATATATGTGAAAGAAAAAGAGGACATTGCCACAAGGCCTTTGGGAAGTAGGGCATTGTCTTGAGTCTACGTGCTAAGGAAAATTGGACAGGGTTTGGAACATGTGCTGGGAGTATCCGTCCTGTATGACCTGGATCCCAAGTGGACTATAGCACAAGCACATATCAGGCCAAACTCACGCATGAAGGCAGTTCTTGGATACGTGATGAGCTCTACTTTTTTCCAGTGGACATCTTCCCTCTTTAGAAGAACGAGAGATAACAACAGTGGATGGTCTTTATTTATGTATTGCTTAAACATTTGGCCAGTACTTCTACCCTCCTCCTTCTATAAATAGAATCCCACTATCTTTGGGTATTCTATTTCATATAGTTTTGGTGGGCTCCCCCAGACCTGACCAATAGAGTATTCCACCATCCTGGTTAGAGATGGGCATGTGATTCCCTGAAATTTGTCACATGATTTATGGGAGAAAGAAGGGAAGAGTATTCCTTTGGGATTTTGAGTTCAAGAGATAACAGAAATGGGCTTACAGCAGCAACTCTCCCTGGTTGCACAGAAGCATATGTCTGCTACAGGAGAGAATAAAGAGACCCAGAATGAAGGATGGAGTGACCAATGGAGACAAGAAGGGAGCAAGCTTTACTAATACTGCTTGAGCATCTGGATCCCACTGTGCCTAAAACCAGAAGCACCCTTAGACATTTTTGTTACGTGGGCTAAGACATTTCCCTTTCTATTATCTCATTGGGGTTCTGTCAACTTGAAACATCTGACTAATACACATACCAAATACCATCTTCGCAGCAGATGATTCCTGTCCCCAAGGTATTTTCCTATTCCCAAAGAGGCCCCAGTAGCCTCTGGGGCAGTCTAACCACCTGAAGTCCACCTTTGTGACTTAAACATGCCACCAGAATGCTTTCTTGTGACAAATACAAATGATCTGGAAGAAAGCTGAATGCATCACTTTCAGTCTTCATCCTAGAAAATTTCATCACACTTACTGGGGACTTTGCCAAAGCAATGAGGTATTGCTGTGCTCAAAAACCACGTTCTTGTTTAGGAAGTGTTCCCCACCATGGCTCTCTGGGGAATTCAGCATAAAGTTTCAACTCTTCAGCTTGGCACAGAAAGTCGCGCGCGCGTGTGTGTGTGTGTGTGTGTGTGATGGAGTCTCGCTCTGTTGCCCAGGTTGGAGTGCAGTGAGGCAATCTCGGCTCACTGCAACCTCCACCTTCCGGGTTCAAGCAATTCTCCTGTGTCAGCCTTTCGAGCAGCTGAGACTACAGGTGCCCACTACCACGCTCGGCTAATTTTTTGTATTTTTAGTAGAGACGGGGTTTCACCGTGTTAGCCAGGATGGTCTCGATCTACTGACCTCATGATCTGCCCTTCTCAGCCTCCCAAAGTGCTGGGATTACAGGCGTGAGCCACTGCACCCAGTCCAGAAGTCTCTTTTAATCTGACCACAGTCTCTGTATTTAGGATCCCATCCTGCCACTCGTCCATGAACCTCCATTCTCCAACCAAACCAGGCTATCTGTCATTCCCTAAATATGTCATGCTTTGCCATCCTCTGTACTCCCTTTGAGCAATCTTCTCTTCCTGGAATATGTTTCCATCATTTCACAGTTGGCTAACTCTTAACTGTCCTCAGGATGTAACTCACACAGCACGTCCTCTAAGAAGTCTTCACCAACATTCTCCTGTCATTCTACCTTCTGCCAGAGCAATTTGGACATACCTCTGATGTCACACTTGATTAGAATTATTGGTCACCTGCTCTTAACTATAAACTTCCTGAGGTCAGGAACTGAGTCTGCATATGACATATGAGCCTTCATCACAAAAGCATTCTAAGGCAGTTCCCAATTATTTTGAGATTCAACAATAAAATTCCAGAAAGTAAAGAAAATTTTAAAAAGAACTACTCAACATAAGGGCATTGTTAAGAAAGATATAATTGGCGGGGTGCAGTGGCTCACACCTGTAATCCCAGTACTTTGGGAGGCTGAGGTGGGTGGATCACCTGAGGTCAGGAGTTTGAGACCAGCCTGGCTAACATGGGGAAACCCCATCTCTACTAAAAGTATAAAAATTAGCCGGGTGTGGTAGCAGGCACCTGTAATCCCAGCTACTCAGGAGGCTAAGATAGAATTGCTTGAACATGGAAGGCAGAGGTTGCAGTGAGCTGAGATCATGCCACTGCACTCCAGCCTGGGAAATAAGAAAGACTCCTTCTTAAAAAAACAAGTTATAATTACCTGCTGGATATAATATTATCTAGCCACTAAGACAATTCAGAGATAATTTAAAATGTAAAAATCCCTTCTATGTAGGCTAAAATAAAAGGATTAAAAATCTATATGTGAACATTTTATAAGTATGCAAAAAATACACATAATCAAAGACATAAAGAGATCACAAAACTGTACTGTTTTTTCATGTTGACATTATGGGTGATTTCTGTACTACTTTATAAATGTTTATGTCTGAAGAAAAATAAGGCTGGGCATGTTGGCTCATGCCTGTAATCCTAGCACTTTGGAAGGCTGAGGCAGGCGGATCACCTGAGGTCAGGAGTTCAAGACCAGCCTGAACAACATGGTGAAATCCTGTCTCTACTAAAAATACAAAAAAATTAGCTGGGCGTGATGGTGGATGCCTGTAATTCCAGCTACTTGGGAGGTTCAAGGAGAATTGCTTGAACCCAGGAGACAGACGTAGTAAGATGAGATTGTGCCACTGTACTCTAGCCTGGGCGACAGAGCGAGACTCCGTCTTAAAAAAAAAAAAAAGAAAGAAAAGAAAAAATGAGGCTGGGCTTGGTGGCTCATGCCTGTAATCCCAGCTCTTTGGAAAGCCAAGGCAGGTGGATCACTTGAGCTGAGGAGTTTGAAATCAGCCTGAGCAACAAATCAAGACCTTTGTTTCAGTTTAAAATTTTTAAAAACATATAGATACATATAAGAATAAATGAAAAATGTAAAAAGAAACTTCCAAAGAGCTTCAGGGTATTGCTACAACTTTCTGGAAGCAGGAAACTTCCTCTGTTTGCAAGTAGCAACACAAGCCCCTTAGGCTGGCAAAAGCACTGGGGAGCTCCTGTGCTCACTAATGAGCTCATGATGGCTGGACCAGCCCTATGTAGATCCAGAAAGTGCTTGCACCAAATACACAGTTCACTAATGGGATCTTGCAAATCCTTGTGATCTCTTAAAAACAGTCCCTTGTAAACAGTAACCAGCAACTAAATGCATGCAGATCCCCAGCACTCCAAATCAATTAGCCACAAGCATTAAAAGGTCAAAACAAGCCCAGTGAGTCATTAAGTAACTTGCTCAACCCAGTTTGCAGTTCTGATGGCAGCTGGGTTGAGAATTAAAGAGCAGAAAGAAAGGAAAATACAAAGAAAGAAAATTCAAAATGAAAGTTTCCACTTTCACTTGAGAGAATCAACCTCCTACTCTGTTATATCTTCAGTCTTTGGCCAACTTTAAACTCCCCCTACCAATCTGAAAATAATGTATGCTAATTTTAAATTTTCATATATTACAAAATTGTATAAAATTAAGTACAAATGCCCTCATTTCTCCAAGTCTGTCTCCTAGAAATAACAACTATTAAGTTTGTTCTATCTAGCTATTTCCAAATTTTTTCTGTGTGTTTGCTAATATTCATAGAAAACTGAATGCTTTCTCTTTCTACTTGACAATATCTTGAGGTGAAATTCATATGACTCAATTACTTTTGTTTGTTGTTGTTGTTTTTAAGAGATGGGTCTTGCTCTGTTGCCCATGCTGGAGTGCAGTGGTGCAATCATAGCTCACTGTAATCTCAAACTCCTGGGCTCAAGTGATCCTCCCACCTCAGCCTCTTGAGTAGCTGAGACTATAGGCAAGTTCCACCACTAAGCAAGTGCCTGGCTAATTTTTTTGTTTTTAATTTTGTAGGCATGGGGTCTTGCTGTGTTGCCCAGGTTGGTCTTGAGCTTCTGGTCTCAAGAGATCCTCCTGCCTCAGCCTCCCAAACTGCTGGGATTACAGGTATGAGCCACTGTGCCCAGCCTACAATTAACCATTTTTTAAGTGAACAATTCAATGCTATTTAGTATATTCACAAGGTTGTACAACTACCACCTCTATCTAGTTCCAAAACATTTCCATTACCTCAAATTCATTTATTCTTTTTAATGGCTGCAGAGTTAGTATCCCATAGTCTGGACAGGCCTATTGATTTAATCAACTGATGAGCATTAAAATTGTTTCCAGTGTCTGGCTATTATAAAAAGTGCCTCAGTGAACATGCTTTGTATATTTGTGCTGATACTTCCAAAAGGCAGGAATTCCTTAAGTGGAATTCCTTGGTCTAAGAAGTATAAACATTTTAATGTTTGAGATGTGTCGCCAAGTTGACCTCCAAACAGGCTATTCAACTTTATATTCCTCAGACAGGTACATGATAGTACACTTTGGTCACACTCTCATCAACAAGGTATAATTATCAATCTGATAGGTTAAACAACTATACCTTAATTTCAGTTTTGTGTTTTGAAGGTAAGATTGAGGATATTTTAATTAATTTGTTAAAAAATTTCCCAGAGAGTTGGAGATTGTCTTCTGTTGTGGCATGGGAAAAAAAGAGAGCTCTATCATTGTTTTGTGTTTCTCTAGTGACTGCTGGGCTCGGGGTACTATGGGGGATATCACAGAGGGTCTTTTAGCACTTCTGATTTCTTCTCTTTGATTCTCACAACCATCCTGCAAGTTGGGGGTTTATTCCATTCTACTGAGGAGGAAATTGAGGTTGAGGGAAGCTAAGATTCAAAACCAGATCTGTTTGGTTCCAATAGAGCCTGAGCTCTTTCTACTATGGGGACTGCATCTACTGTTTACATGCAAGACATA